TGCGAAGCTTCACTGCATAGGGAAGCGCTAAGGACATGGCTTTCACGTCACTGAATCACGATTAGGGCTTCGAGGGGGCATTTCATTTATATTCAAAGTCGTTCTGTCTTTTGAAAGTGAACTGACCCGCAAGGCGTGCTCGGAGGCAGCTAGTGTAGTGGGCACGCCCTCCCAGACGAATATAGCATACGTACCCATTTGCAAAGGGATGAAAAGCCTGGGTAGCTTGAACGGGATCCGACCCGGAGTTTGACATTCGACCAACGCTCGCGGTAAGTGGCGCTACCTGCCGCTGCACCTCTTCTCTACCAGACGTTCAATATCATTATGTTATTACAAAATTTTTAGCTATTGCCCCTGCACTTGATTATGAAGATAACAAATACATATGTAAACATGATAAAAGGCATTGTAGAGCCTGATTCATGTACTTTCAACTACTGTGCTCTGGCTGTGAGGGAACTGCGGGACTTTTAGTGAGTGATAAATAAAGAAATAAACCTCCATTGGTGAAGGCTCCGAAGACGTACACCAACATCAGTATAGGTACCAACATAGTTAGCGCGGGAATAGCCACCTGAAAAGCAACTATAGTTTGCAACATTGCAGTCCAGTCGGGGACGGCGTGAGAAGGGTGGATGCACCCTTCCTCCGCCTTACTTGCTACCATGGCCATGAGTAGTATCGATTTAAGAGGGAAACGAACAGTGTTGGAAGCGCCGCCGGTGGGGACCGCTTATTGCAACCCGACTTATTGCAGTGATATCCACTGTAGAGCACTGCAGTTCACTCATTTGTATAAGCATACGACGTGTATCAACACGCGGACAGTAATGAAAAGTTTCCTGCCATTTGTTCTTACATCTGATGAAAAATGGCTCTAACTGGGAGAACCTGAGACAGGGTTCCTTCAGGATCAAAACTAAGTATTTACGCTGCGAACTACAACGGCTGCCACGTGCTCTGTTTACGAAATGCAAAAAAACATTAATGCAACGAACACTCTTTACCTACCTGTATACAAAGGTAGATGAGAAATCGTCTTTGCATTCGCTTCGTTTTCTGTGACAGATGTCCACTCATCCTTATGAAATAGAAGGAGAGAACAATGCATAGTACTGTAATCACAGTTGCAGTAACCGCCAATACTATAACTGTCATAGCCAAACGTATCCCTTTATTTAGTGTGAAGACCGTAAAACGTGGACTGTCCATATATTACAGATTGCAAACAAGGGTATTCCTGAAATAACATTATACTTGCTGATCTAAGTTTTGGATAGTCACTTTCTCAAGTTAACTCCTTGAAAAACTGAACTCCGCTCACAAGTCTAGGTTTGGCTCAAGATTCCCTCATGAGTCTTCGCAATATTTCCACTGGCAAAGGAAAAGACAAACTCTATTGAATTGAACTACCTTAACAGCCCATATCTTACGCTCTTCTTGGTCAGGTAAAATATCAATTAAACCAGCTGCTAAAGATATGAAATAGGTCAGTGATATAGCAGAACTCGTGTAGATGTGGCCTTAAAATGAGCTGTTCACTGGATCTACCGAAAGAAATGTTGTATTCGACACAATCAAGGTATTGAATGAAGCCTTTTCCCTACAGATTCTCTCCTTTCAATAAAGAGAGTGAAAAAAGATATCTATCCATTCGTTCCCGGCAGTAGAAGACGCTCATTTGAGGGTACGGCACTCCTATACTACTCACCATTGTTGCCTATCTTGAAAAAGTAATGGTTTGGAGTAACCACGTGACAACGATAGTTAAATAGGTTGAGAATACAACCAACAAGTAGAGCAGCTGTAAGAAACACCATAATTACGCCAGCGTGGCCAGTGATAGATAATGTCACTGCCAGCCAAGAGCCAGGATAACCCATTGCTTCTGGGAAGTAGATTACAGGTATTATAAAACCAGTGTACACAGTGTCGAATGCAGTGGATGACGCTTGGTAAGCAAGCAAATACCATTTATAAGCGCCCATCTGCCTCGTTGATTTGTAGACAATGCAGTAAAAGGCGAATAGATTCATAAAAAGAGCGATGACTGACAAAGAGTGCATCACACTTCATGTAGAGATCGTTTTCCATTCAATCTTATCGCAGAGGTTCATGACTGG